CTTATATTTATTCTTTTTAACTCCAATTCCATTTTGATAGCAATAACCAACATTATACATTCCAATAGCATAACCCATATAAGCAGATTTTTGATGAAAAATAAATGCTTTATGCTCATCCTTTTCAACTCCGATTCCATTTAGATAACAATAACCAACATTATATGTTCCGCTAGCATCACCGATTTTAGCAGATTTTTGATAATAAATAAATGTCTTATCATCATCTTTTTTAACCCATTTACCAAAACGATAACAATGCGCAAGGATGATCTGAACTATAGGATTGACCTGATCTTCTAAGCACCAATCAATGATACTATTCGGGTTTAGCTTCTTTTTTTCTAGAAGTTGATCTAATTTATTAAGAATTGATTCGCAATTTTCACCTTTCGATCTTTCTTCATTATACAAATAGCACAATTCTTTAATAATTTTATTACGAAAATCTCGTGAATTATTGTCTTGGGAATTCAACTGGCCAAAATTGTTGGTTATTTGAGGAATTTCATCTGATGAACAATAAATTTTTTTTGTCTGTTCTTTTTTCGAGATTTCTTTATTTGACATTTGATAAAGAAAAAGAATAATGTATGTTACGAGATAAATGTTATTCGAAATTTATAATTTTAACTGATCTATTTCATTATCTATGATTTATGCGTATAAGAATTTGGTTTACACACAATTTATAGATAAATTTGGGGGTCAGTTAAAGCGAAGTTAATTTAATATATGATCTTTCAATAAAAAGAGGTTCAGTTATTGTATATTAGGTACAAGATTTTTTTAGTAAAGTTCCTAAAGAATTATGCAATATATATAATAAAGAAAGATTAAAAGGCAAAAATTACAAATCAATTCTTAATATTTTAGATAATTTTTTAGAAAAAGAGAAGCTAAATTTGGATAGTATTATCAGTTGGTGCTTAGATAATCAAGCCTATCCTATCGTTCAGATTATCTTTGCACATTGTTATCATTTTGGTAAATATGTTAAAAAGGATGAACACAAGGCATTTTTTTATTATCAAAAATCTGCTGAACTAGGCAATAATGATGGAATATACAATGTTGGTTATTGTTATCAAAATGGGATTGGAGTTGAAAAGAATGAGCATAAGGCATTCATTTATTATCAAAAATCTGCTGAGTTTGGTAATTCTGATGGAATATTTCAAGTTGGATGTTGTTATCAAAATGGAATTGGAGTTAAACAAAATAAATATAAAGCATTTATTCATTATCAAAAATCTGTAGAGATGGGAAATGTTAGTGGAATGTATAATGTTGGATATTGCTATCAAAATGGAATCGGAGTCAAAAAAGATGAACATAATGCATTCATATATTATCAAAAATCTGCTGAGATGAATGATTTAGATGGAATATTTCAAGTTGGATATTGCTATCAAAATGGAATTGGAGTTGAAAAAGATGAACATAAGGCATTCTCTTACTATCAAAAATCTGCTAAAATGAACGATTCTAATGGAATATTACAAGTCGGATATTGTTATCAAAATGGAATTGGTGTAGAAAAAGATGAACGTAAAGCATTCTTTTTTTATCAAAAATCTGCTGAGATGGAAAATGCTATTGCAATATATAATGTTATATATTGTTATCAAAATGGAATTGGAGTAGAAATAGATGAATATAAAGCATTCATTTATTGTCAAAATTTTACTAAAATAGATTATTCTCTTAAAATAAATTATTACCAAAATAAGTTAAATGATTTTTTTAATAAGGCTGTTAAAGAATTATGCGATATATATAATGAAGAAAGATCAAAAGGCAAAAATTACAAATCAATTCTTAATAAATTAGATAATTTTCTTAAAAAAGAGAAGCTAAATTCAGATAGTATAATCAGTTGGTGCTTAAATGATAAAATTAATCCTACGGTTCAGATTATTCTTGCACATTGTTATCACTTTGGAAAATGGGTTAAAAATGATAATTATAAAGCATTTATTTATTATCAAAAATCTGCAGAAATGGGTAATGTTGATGCAATAATACATGTTGGTTATTTTTATAATAAAGGAATTGGAGTTGAAAAGGATGAACATAAGGCATTCATTTATTATCAAAAATCTGCTGAGATAGGTAATTCTGATGGAATTTTTCTGGTTGGATATTGTTATCAAAATGGAATCGGCGTGGAAAAAGATGAACGTAAAGCATTCATTTATTATCAAAAATCCACTGATATGAAAAATTCTAGTGGAATGTATAATGTTGGATATTGTTATCAAAATGGAATTGGCGTTGAAAAAGATGAACATAAATCATTTGTTAATTATCAAAAATCTGCTGAGATGGGCGATTCTGATGGAATATATCAAGTTGGATATTGCTTTCAAAATGGAATTGGAGTTGAAAGGGATGAACATAAAGCATTCATTTATTATCAAAAATCTGCTGATATAGATGATTCTAATGGAATATTACAAGTCGGATATTGTTATCAAAATGGAATTGGAGTGGAAAAAAATGAATGTAAAGCATTCTTTTATTATCAAAAATCTGCTAAGATGGAAAATGTTATTGGAATATATAATGTTGGATATTGCTATCGAAATGGAATTGGAGTTGAAAAGGATGAACATAAGGCATTTCTTCATTATCAAAAATCTGCTGAGATGGGTGATGCTAGTGGAATGTATAATGTTGGCTATTGTTATCTAAATGGAATTGGAATTGAAAAAGATAAACACAAGGCATTTATTTTTTATCAAAAATCTGCTAAGTTAGATGATGCAATTGGAATGTATAATGTTGGTTATTGCTATCAAAATGGAATTGGAATTAAAAAGAATAAATATAAGGCGTTGATGTGTTATCAAAAATCTGTTAAGATGGATCATTCTATTGAAATATTAGAAGTAGCTAATTATTGCCAAAATCAGTTAAAAGATTTTTTTAGTAAAATTTCTAAAGAATTATGCAATATATATAATAAAGAAAGATCAAAAGGCAAAAATTACAAATCAATTCTTAATAAATTAGATAATTTTCGAAAAAAGGAGAAGCTAAATTCATATGATATAATTAGTTGGTTCTTAGATGATCAAGTCAATCCTATAGTTCAAATTATCCTTGCACATTGTTATCGATTTGGTAAATGGGTTAAAAAGAATAAACACAAGGCATTCATTTATTATCAAAAATCTGCTGAGATGGGCTATGCTAACGGAACATATAATGTTGGTTATTATTACCTAAATGGGATTGGAATTAGAAAAGACAAACATAAGGCATTTCTTTCTTATGAAAAATCTGCTGAGATGGGTGATGCTAGTGGAATGTATAATGTTGGATATTGTTATCAAAAAGGAATTGGAGTTGTAAAGAATGAATATAAAGCATTAATTTGTTATCAAAAATCCGCTAAGATGGAACATTCAATTGAAATCTCGGAAGTAGCAAATTTTTGCCAAAATAAGTTGCAAGATTTTTTCAGAAAAATTATAAAAAACTTGTGCAATATATATAATAACGAAAGATTAAAAAGCAAAAATTACAAATTAATTCTTAATACATTATATAATTTTCTAGAAAAAGAGAAGGTAAACTCAGATAGTATTATCAGTTGGTGCTTAGATGACCAAGTTAATCCTATAGTTCAGAATATCCTCGCACATTGTTATCGCTTTGGTAAATTGGTTAAAAAGGATGAATACAAGGCATTTATTCATTATCAAAAATCTGCTGAGATGGGTGATATTGATGGAATAAATAGTGTTGGTTATTGTTATCGTCATGGAATTGGAATTCAAAAGGATGAACACAAGGCATTCGATTATTATCAAAAATCCTCTGACATGGGTGATGTTAAAGGAACATATAATGTTGGTTATTGTTATAAAAACGGAATAGGAGTTGAAAAGGATGAATGCAAGGCATTCGAGCATTATCAGAAATCTGCTTATAGAGGTAATGCGATTGGAACATATAATGTTGGTTATTGTTATCGAAATGGAATTGGTGTTGAAAAGGATGAACATCAAGCATTCATTTATTATCAAAAATCTGCTGAGATGGGTCATGCCAAAGGAACATTTAATGTTGGTTATTTTTATGACAACGGAATTGTAGTTGAAAAGGATAAACATAAGGCATTTATTTTTTATCAAAAATCTGCTAATATGGGTTATGCTAAAGGAGCATATAATGTTGGTTATTGTTATAAAAATGGGATTGGAGTTAAAAAAGATGAATATAAGGCATTAATTTATTATCAAAAATATGGCGATACTCTTGAGATGGTTAATGTTGGTAATTCTTATCTGAATGGAATTGGTGTTGAAAAGGATGAACATCAAGCATTTATTTATTATCAAAAATCTGCCGAGATGGATAATTCTATTGGAACATGCAATATTGGTTATTGTTATGAAAAAGGAATTGGAGTTGAAAAGGATGAGAATAAGGCATTTATATATTATCAAAAATCTGCTAATATGGGTAATTCCAATGGAATGCTTCAAGTTGGACATTGCTATTTTAATGGAATTGGTGTTGAAAAGGATGAGTATGAGGCATTCGTTTATTATCAAAAATCTGCTGATATGGGTAATTCCTATGGAATATATCAAGTTGGATTTTGTCATCTTAATGGAATTGGTGTTGAGAGAGATGAATATAAGGCATTCATTTATTATGAAAAATCTGCTAAGATGGGTGATTCTGATGGATTATTCCAAGTTGGTTATTCTTACCATGAGGGAATTGGAGTAAAAAGAGATGAACATAAGGCATTCTCTTACTATCAAAAATCTGCTGAAATGAACGATTCTAATGGAATATTACAAGTCGGATATTGTTATGAAAATGGAATTGGAGTGGAAAAAGATGAACATAAAGCATTTATTTATTATCATAAATCTGCTGATATGGGTAATCCTCTTGCAATGGTTAATGTTGGTTATTGTTATAAAAATGGAATCGGAGTTGAAAAGAATGAACATAAGACATTTGAATATTATCAAAAATCTGTTGATTTGGGTATAGTCGAAGGAATATTTGCACTTGGAAACTGTTTTCGTGATGGAATTGGAGTTAAAAAAGATGAACATAAGGCATTCGATTATTATCAAAAATCCGCGAAAATAGGTGAAATCGAAGGAATATTTCAAGTCGCTTATTGTTATCATCATGGAATTGGTGTTGAAAAGAATGAACGTGAGGCATTCGATTATTACCAAATATCTGCTGAGATGGATGATAATATTGGAACATTTGCACTTGGTGACTGTTATCTCAATGGGATTGGAGTTGAAAAGGATGAACATAAGGCATTCATTTATTATCAAAAGTCTGCTGCTATGGGTAATACTGAAGGAATATTTAAGGTTGGATATTGCTATAATTATGGAATTGGAGTAGAAAAGAATGAACAAAAGGCATTTATTAATTATCAAACATCTGTTGAAATTGGTTATATTAATGGAGCATATAATGTTGGACATTGCTATCTTAATGGAATTGGAGTTGAAAAGGATGAATTCAATGCTTTTATTTATTTTCAAAAATCTGATGATATGGGTGATGCTAAAGGA